GTTCCAACTTGTCGCTAACRTCTAGYGCACAACTTGCAGCGTTTGGCTTCAAAGCTTCTTGCTGAAACATTTGCAATTTTTTAAGCATAATTGTTCACTCCAAGTAAAATTAAACCAAATGAGAGCTTCAAGGGAAGTTAGTTTTCCCAAATTTTGGAATGCTCTTGGGTCAAAGAAAAAAGCTTTTTAATTGCTGACAGTTTGGTGATTTCCAAATGACAAACCTCATTGGAATGATTTCCTCTGATTATAACGTTTGCATTAATTTGACTGGCAAAGCGACTAACAAAGTCATACTTCATCCAGGCCCTGATTCTTTTTTTTTTTTCTTAAAGCTTTTTGCAATTTGTGAGAGGCAAAAAGACTGAAACTATTATCAACCATTATATGTCATTCATTGACCACATGTTTGTTTGAAATGGCCATCGCTTGGTGGAATGTGGACTCTCTATGTTCTCTTCAATAAATTAGCACTGCAAAACTACCTATATCAGGTAGGTTTTTGAGGAGGTTGCTGTATTGTAATATGAACCAGACCGTGGAGGTGGATGTGACTTTTGCTCCGCGTGTTAATTTGGGTCCTGTGCCCTATGGATGCAGCACAACGTGAGCAAAGCCTGTTGACTTTAAGGCATTCTGCTCATGCACTGAGGCCCTTTGGGCCCCACACTATAATTGCACTCTTGATTTGCACGGACATCCTAATTTTCTTTGTAGCGTAGTCATTTATTCTAAGTATTTTGGCAAGAGTCTGCTGTTATTTTCTTCTTGAGGCTGTGGTAAAACCTGCCTTCTAGAGAAATGTGCAGTGCAGAACATAGGGGCAGAGGGTTGGGAAGTCTGTTTTGATGGATTCAGGTAAAATAGGAAGTCACAGAGCAGAGCACCAAACCTACCTGCTGTCTTTGTCCCCCCCAGGGAAATAAATAGCCAGGTACTCACGTGAAAGGATGTGTTTCTGGTGTCTGCCTAGTATGAGACTGCTGGGCCATAATGCTTAACTTGGCAAGGATGTGGGAGATGGGAAATGTTGGGATGGGTGTTTAARACGCCGTGGGGATGTCCAAGGTAAAGTGGTTGCTCCCATGCAGTGGCTTTGAGTCCCCGAGTAAGGAACGTTTAGCAGAATGATTTACCAGGACGTGACGGGRAGGGTTTCTGCCCCAGGAAACGCTTTGGTGGCATGGGGTGAAATGCTCCTCCTGGGCAGGTTCAGTGCCCGGGTGGCTTCAGGCAGTGTCCTGGCGGTAGATGACTCTTTCTSTCCTTGCTCCTTTTCTCCTAGGCTTTCGGGTTTATGACACGAGTCGCTCTGCAAGCGGAGAAGATGAATCACCACCCGGAATGGTTTAATGTCTACAGCAAGGTAACTCGTCCACTGCCTTTGGCTACAGTGAATTAAGTAGACCAAGACCCAGCCGCAGTGCCACACGCTCTGCACCTTTGCTTTTTTAACTGACATACGAGGGAAGAAATAGGATGTGTTGCTTAAAAAAGATCTTTGCAGTGATAGCCCTGTTCTCCTCATGGGTAGAATAAATTGGTGGTGTCTTGTTTTTTTCTGCATACTTCTCTCCATCTCTTTCCTTCCTGTGTCTGAGAACTTTCTCACCACTTTGCTGGATGTTCTTCCAGAGGGCTCCAGCTCTGTGAGCTCCCAACAAGTTAAAAAAAAAAAAAAATATATATATATATATATATATATATAATATATATATATATTCCCCAAGGTCCTGGGGTGTGCAGTAGTGAGGTGGCACCAGGAACCACATCCTGCTCTGCAATTATTTGCTACCAGCTGCATAGTTTGCACTGTCACTTAATGTTTCTGCCCAGAATTTAGGGATTAAATGGAGCCCTTGAAGCCCTTTAAAGGGCTTTAAAAAGATGAGGAGGGCTCTTCTAATCCATTCCCTTTCCCTTCTTACAGGTTCAGATAACTCTCATTTCCCATGACTAYGGTGGACTGACCAGAAGAGATGTGAGGCTGGCCCAGTTTATCGACAAAGCTGCTGCTTTGGTCTAACGAAGATGTGAAATGTTTTAATGGGGTTGCTGATGATATTTTGTGTTTAGATAGTAGCCCTCATTCCTTGCAACACTGATTTAGGTCAAATCCCTCAGAGAACAAGATACTTAATTGGGGGAAAAGAAAAAAAAAAAAAAGAAAAAAAAATTTTAAAAAGAAAAAAAAATGAAAAAAGAAAAAAAAAAAAAAAAAAGGTGGAGTTAGACTTGTCTTCCTTTAAGAGCTCAGCGTGAGATACCCCTCTCTAAAAATAAGCCTGTTCTTATCCCAGGTCATTGATGACTGCACCTGAGGATGCAGAAGATAACACAGCCAGACAATCCTTTTGGGCAATCCTTTTTCTAGAGAGGTTTTTCTGATACTAAAAATATTTTWAAAWTATTTTTATATTAAAAAATAGCAGCAGCAGGCCCCTCTGTGCCAGCCCCCGTGCTGTCCCCTGCATGTCCAGGGGACATTACTGGGATACTGGCCCTCCAGAAGGGCCCAAATCCGTATGGGGAAGGCGGCCGAGGCGCGGTGAGAAGCTGCCGGACAGCGAGGACCTGCTGCGTCAGGGTCGGTGCCAGGATCCGCGCCGGGAGATGTCTCAGGTATCTGGTCCCTCACGTATTTTGGATGCAAAATGCAATAGCTGACAAGCAAATATTCACGTTGCTGAAATAAGGATTGTTTATTTTTTTGTTAATCCTTAGCAAGTGTCCTGTCACCGGCTAATTGGTAACGGGAATGAATAGTCGGAGTTTGTTGCCAGTAGCTACACCTAAGTTAAAAATGGAAAAAAGACCCAATTCAGACTTTCTGTTCAAATACTCTTCTCTTAAAAGTGCCATTTTCCTATTAAAGCAGCGGATTTCCCTGATAGCCCCTGAAAATGGTCAATGTTGSAAGGAATGAATGAAGCTAAAATGAACCACCAGGCTGCGGTACCTTCTGTTACCCGGGGGCGCGTGAGCAAAACTTTGCCCAAAGCTGTGACAATGTCTCTAGTGAACTGAGAAAACTGTTGTTAGGAATTGGTGTATAGTGCAAATGCTTTGGAAAAAAAAATAAAATCAAGTTCCTCGTTTTCCATTTGTTTCTTTGTTATGATATGTGTGTGACAAAAATGTTTAGTTTGAAGATAAATTTAAGATAAATAATATTTCATTCCTGGGAGGTCCTTGGTTTTAGAATATTCATATTTATTTACATGCTCTGAGAAGAAAAAAAATCCCCCCCCACCTAATTTAGCTCCTGGAGCATCTCAAACTAGCAGCTCTCTGCAGAGAAGGGCAAGGGGACTTTTAGTTTTATTTTTGCTCGAAGGCTGCTTGTGGCTTTAAGCATCTGGGTAATCAGGAAACAACCTTCCCCCTTGGAGGAGCTTTCCTGTGTCTGGGCTGATTTTTAACTGGATTTGTCCCTGCCAGCCTAGTCTGTGACTTGACTCTTCTGTTCTCTTTAGACCCTTTATCCGTGCTCTGCTCCGGATGAGTCTGCAGGGATTGCAGCCTCTCYGGATGAGGCCGGAGCCTCCCTGAAACCCCGAGTGTCCCACGGAGCAAAGCTGCAGCACAGAGCGGGCTGGCCTGGACTTTCCTGCTGGTTTTGCTCCCTGTGGGCACACAGGTTGTTAGGGAAAGGTAGGACCAGAGCATCAGTTTGAACTGTTAAGGTCCTCAGTCTTTCCTGACTCTTAGATGCTTGCAGCGCCCTGGGCTTTGAAGGATTAAATAACTGGGGGTTTGTGCAGATCCTTGCTCTAATGCAGGCTCTCTGTTCCCTCCACTCGTGTGCCGAGCCCCGCTCTGCCTTTTCGTTGCTTTTCAGTCATGCAAAATGCAATTTTGAAGGCTTTGGGCTTTCTGCAGCTTCTGATGGGCACGGGCAGCCCTGCCAGCCCGTGAACCTCCGGCCAACGAGGGAATTACCACTTAGCTCCGGGCTGGGAATCTCCCTGCACAGGCGGTGTCAGTTTGTCACTTCTGTTTGCTCCAAAAACAAATATTTGTGGCTGCTCCTCGGCATCAGCCGAACATGTGTGTCCTGGAACACCATCCTCATGGAGCATCCAGAGCAGCGCGCCCAGGGAGGCTGCCGGAGCAACAGGAATTAGCAGTCGTTAACACTCCCGCTGTGCTTCCCAAGGAAAGGAGGCCAAAACCAGCAAACCTGGTGGGGAGCTTCTCCGCTGGCATCGCGGAGAAGGATTCACCCTGGGACGCAGGATGCCGAACTGCACAACCCGGCGATCCCCTTCCAAAGGGATCCCCCCGGAGCAGGACCCCCAGCACACCAAGGCCGAGCTGTTTTCCTGCCTTCCTCATTCCTGAGTGATGAAAGTCTCACCACAAGAAGCTGTCCGTGCGGCTTGTGTGGAGGGAGCTGGGCAGTGTCCAGCAGTAAAAATGCCTGTTGCCCTCTACTTTGGCACGTGGCAGGCTGTAAATGCTAAAAATGAATGTAATTTTGCCTCTCTGTAGGAGAGCTTGTAAGTTTTGTTTTTGTTTTTAAATAGACAATATTGCCAGGATGAAAATAATACACTAAAGCAGCGCGAAGCGGCTCGCCTGGCTCGCTTGCGTTCTATGCGCTGCCAAAGCCGCTTTGGCTCTTCTGGCCAGCGCACCGCGGCCTCTGCAGGGACAGGCACTCGGAGCACTTCCCTCCTGGTCCCGCCATGTGGAGCAGGGATGYGGCATTGCCCTGGGAAGAGGGGCAGGACACCGGCTGGATGCCCCTGCCACCCTGGCACAGGATTGTGGAGCAATGAAAACCCTGTGGTCACCTCTTCTTTATCTCTGTGCTTGYAAAGCAGTGAGTTGAGGAGTAATCAGCACCTGCTCCCCTCGTGATTTTAGGGATTTTATTTATCCAGGACCAGGCCTGGAACACGGATTCCTGCAGCTGGAAGCGACCTCACAAACAGCTGATGTGGGTTCCAATGTGTCCAGTGTGGAGCGGCCGCCGTCCCGCGGTGCCTCCAGCCATGGAGCGCACGGAGCCCTTGCACAAGCGGCGCGTGATGTCCGAGCTGCTCCTCACGTCCCTGACGTCCCTTTCCGAGGTGGACACCCGGCGCTCGGTGCTGCTGCGCTTCAGGTACCTGTGGAGAGAAGTCGTCTTAACGCAGCACTCGTGTTGATGGGGATGGGATTGGGGTTGACGATGGGATTCACCTGCTGGGTAATTCCTTGCTGTGGGACCTAACTGAGAGATGACTCTGCACGTGGGTGCATTTGTACCCTGGGCATGAGGTGAAGGGCTCTGATGTGGAGCCGACGAGCAGAGGATTCACAAGGGTCTCACCAGGATGGGTTGGCCATAGGAGTCTCCAGCCTGCAAGAGCGAGCGGTCGGGTCTGGCTCTGCAGTAACGTGCATAGGAGCAGATCTGCTCAGGGCTATATTTTGTGTGCTTTCCATATGATTTTAAATTTAAATGGCATCCGGGGGTCGTATTGTTTCCTGAATGAGATGAGATCGCAGATTTTTTTTAAAAAGAAGACAGCAAGCTCCAAGTGCTGGTGTCCCTACACAACGCGCTGCAAGGTCTCCAAGCATGCCTTTAATCAGGGTTCAGTCTTATGGCCACTGAGCATGTCTCATGACTGCAGAACCCAGCAGTGATGAGGGACATGCAACCAGGCTGCTAAATTCCTGCTCGCCTGCCCCAATYGAACGACTGAGCCAAATTTCTCAGCTTTTGTGCTACTTGGGATGCCTGGGACCCTCTGGAAAACCGGCCTTGAACCTGGCACGCAGAGAGCCGCAGGCAAGGGGACACGTTGTCCCCTGAGCCCTCCCTGCCGGTGGCAACTTGGGTCTCCCAAGCTCTTGGTGGCAGGAGGAAGGACGCCAAGTTCTGCGCCTACCTGCGGCGGCTGCTGGGCAGCCCCGTCTTCGCCTTCCTCATGATCTGCGTYGTGTCGCTCAACGCCATCCTCCTGGCCATAGAGACCGACTACCGCCTCCGGCTCAACTCCAGCACCTTCTTCGCGGTAAGGCCGGGCAACGCGTTTCAGGGCTGAGCTTTAAGCCCCTTCCCGTGGTGGAGATCGTTCTTAGAAGGCAACGGTTGCGTCCTTCTCATGGCTGCTCTTTTCCCTGCATGGTTGCAGAGCGGCTTGCTTAACCCTTTTAATAGTCAATTTTCACGTAGAAAACCCCCTCTCGGTCACGCTCCTCGATTTCCTTGTGTTACACAAGTCAGCTACTGTACGCAAACCTCTGAGCCTAATTACATATCCCAGTAACGTATAGAGAGGCCTGGCTAATGTCACGTTGCTCCGGCTAATGTCAAGTCGCTGCGGGGTGAACTTCAGAGGTTTTGGAAAACGCTGCCTCCAGGAGCGGGGTTGTGCAGGAGATGCAGGCAGTTTTGGGACGGAGGGATCCCGCTCCAGGATGTAGTTGGGACCTTCATGTGGCYGCATGCCCGATCTGGGCAGAACTGCAGCTTTCCAGGGCCTCTCTGCTCCCTGTTTGTCCCTTGCCAAGGGGACCCGGTGGGTGTTTGCAATGGGGAGGGCATCTGCTTTGCTCCTCCTCCCTGTGCCATCCGTGGCCACGTTGGGATGCTSTTTGGTGGAACGGTGCCTTGGTCCCCGTTCTTCTGTTCCCTCAGTTTTCATGTTCCTTAAGAGGTTTCTTCTGAGGCTAGCGCTGCTTTGGGGCCCACATTTGCTGCAAGGGGTCCCCTTGGGGAGTGGGGACATGGTGGCTGCCAGGCCAGCCGCACCGATGGACAGCAGGCCTGGTCTGCATTGTGGTGTCTCAGTGTTGGTCCCTGCAGCAGGGTCCGTGTCCCCACAGCTGCGGTGACAGCAGCCGAGGTGCCATCCCCTAGGCCCGGCAAGGCGCTCACGTCCCCATCTCCCCACGCAGCTCACGGACTCGCTCATCCTCTCCATCTACACCAGCGAGTTTTTGCTCAAGCTATACGTGGACCCCTGCGGCTACTGGAAGGACGGCTACAACATCCTGGACGCCGTCATCCTGCTCGTGGCCTTCATCCTGCCCGCCTTCAGCTCGCCTCCAGCCCACTCCTGGGAGGTGGCCAAAGGCCTCCAGGCCCTCCGCATCCTCAAGCTCATCAAGTACAGCAGCGGGATGCGGGTAAAGCTCGGCCCTCCGCTCAATAACCAGGGCTCTTCCCTTCCCTTTGSCCTAAGGCCTTCTTTTTCAGATTGTTCTTCTTAGGCCTGGCCTCGCACGAGGCTGAGCATTGCAGTAGGGAGGGAAGGAGAGGGTCTAATAGGGAAGGAGAGGGTCTACTAGGGAAGGAGGGGAGGAGAAGTCTAATAGCTCCCCATTTCTTTAAGACACCYCTGACTTGGCCATGGTTTCTTTCCCCTGTTTCTACTCCCTCCCCAACGGAGTAGAGGGMTTTTATTTTTAGAGTAGACGCAGAAAAATCCCTGTAAAAGAGGGGTCACGTGTGGCGCTCGGGCTGTGCGTGTTTTCCTCCACCATCTCCTGCTTAGCTCTCTCCTGGCAGCGCCGGGGSTTTGTTTTTCAGCAAGGAGCTTATGTGGGCAATGAACGCTCGGCCAGCGTTTCTGCGTGTGATTAATTGGCTGGGTAGCCCACCAGAAGTGGGATGTTTATGGGCACAGGGCTCTTATAACGTTCACTTCTGAGCCTTCGTTGCTCTAGTTTGCATYGTAAACTTCACTTGTCGCCAGACTTTTATATGTTAATTATTCTGGGTTGCTGGGAGGAGGGACAACGTAGCGTATGAAATAACGAATGAGTTGGGGAAGGCGAGGTGGATGCTCGTGTTTTGTCTGGATGATTAAAAAYGAGCTAATTGAAATGTGGTGAAGTGGGCAGATGTTTAAGGCTGATAAAGAGTTTGTGTTTGCTTGAAGTTCACGCTATGTGTGCTCAGCTTGCGGGACTCGCAGCCAGAGATGCCGTGYTTGGGGACGAAGAGTAAGGAAAACTGTAGGATAAGACTTGGCACCTTACTCCCATGGGATGTTTAAATGAAAAGGTGCTTTGAAAAATCCCAGTAGGCACAAATGTGTGGCTTTAAGAGCCTAAATGCTGCTGGAAATCTGTGCAAATCTATGCATGGTGGGAGATGACGGGACTTGACACCAAAGGGCCTGTGGCCAGTGGGACACTGTACCCTGCCTTTGCGTGGGAGTGCCTGGATAGCATTATTGGGAAAAACTATCCAGAGAGGAAAAGTCTTTAGGTCCCTTTCTGCCCCAGAGCTGTTGTAAATATCACACAAAGTCYTGCCTAACTCCTGCCTACCCTTTCCAGGGCCGTGGGATTCTTGCCCTTGTATCCTGACTGGAAAGGACGAGTGCCCCAAGCTGTTTGAYGTCCCAACAAGCAACACCTCTTTACTTAAAAATCATTTAGAAATGCACTAGGTCTGTCTACATGTGTTTTGCTGAGGGTGTGGGAGGTTCCTTATACCTGTGTGTGCATTGTAATTTATTAATTGAAGTCTAAATTAGCCCTCAACAGGTTAGCAGTATTTAATGCACGGATCTGAAACATGCAACACATTCTTGGCACGCTTCCCTTTATTAATTAAAAACCTCTTTAAAACACTCTGCCTTCCACCTCGGAGCAATAAATTTCCACCTTGAGGAAATAATTTCCTTGTTGTATTCCATACAGAGACGTTCTGTTAGCTGCAATCCCCATTCCAATGTAGGCCCCGTTCATCTTTATTTCAAATTGAAAACAAACTTTCAAAATGCCAGGCTGTTCTTCAAGGGTAAAAAAAAAAAAGAAGGACTTTTCTGCTTTTTTAATRAATATATATTTGGGATTAATTTCAATGTAGTTTACTACCTGTGCAGACTGTGAACCACAAAGCTCCTTCTTAATATGAGCTCAGAGGAATCCACAGCAGTTCCTGAGCGCGCGGGGAGGCAGGACATTCCCGATGGCTGGAAGGCCTCGATGCTCCCGCGCAGGAGGCACGTGCCAACCTGCAGTTGCCACGAGCCTTTTTACAGCCCTCCCGCTACCCTGGGCCAGGAGAGGTTGTTTTTCTTTAGGATCATGTGCCACAGCCCAAATGTGCTGAATGCTGTGACATAGCATGGCAAAAATGCCGTAGGGTTGCTGGGTTGGATGGATTTGGGGCAAGGAATGATTAGAAACCTCCTGGCAGGGAATGAGCATCCACTTGGGAATGCTCTCCATTTGGGGAGATGCTCAGCGGAGTTGCACAGTCTGGTTTGGGCTATTCCCTTGGAGAGAAGAGTGGGCTCAGGGAATCCTGATGCTGCCTATGGATATAAGCTATGGCCTGGGGATGCTCTGCAGCTTCCTCTGGTCTGGAAGAGATGTTCTGACCTGACTTCCCCTGAGTTTTGACTGTTGAGGATGTGCCCAGGTGATTGCACAAGTCACTGATTAGAAGCATCTACAGCATCACTGCGGGACCTCTTTGATGATCTTGCCACCGTTCTCTGAGCACAGCTGGGTGACACAGTCGTGAGGCCACCGTAACTCTCTGAGCACAGCTGGGTGACACAGTCGTGAGGCCACCGTAACCCTTTCCTCTGTGGTTACTCTTGGCAAAGCTGCCAGAGATGGAAACTTTAGAGGGGAAAAAATAGGCCAAGTTGACGCTACTTTTGCATGAGTCTTTGTTGCTGTGGTAGGCAGATCCAAGAAATTCAGTCCATGGAGGCTGAGGGGTGACTAGTGGCCAAAAGAAGGACCTGGACGTTTGAGCAGACACAATGCTGTGGGTATGTTTTCTAGAGCACACAAGCCTTGCAAAAGCCAAAAGTCTATTCAGGCAAGTGCTGYGGGAGTCCTTAATCCATCATAACAGGATCAGCTTTTTGGCAGCYAGGGGAGACTGGAAAGAACATCTTATGCTAGCTTTGCACAAATGTCTACACCAGGAAGTACCATCTGAGCAGATCATCTGGAGAGATTTCAGAGCTTTAACTTGAGATGCTGTTGACAGTCAGAGCTATTGTCCAAAGAGGAAATGATAAATGGATGGTCTCTGAGCTAGTGCACTGTATGAGATACGCTCTGGTGTTAGCAGGCATCTTGCAACCAGGGGAAAGCAGCCAGCCCATGTGGCTGCTGGTCTCCAGAGGAATATAACATGGATGCAAGAGGCTACATGCCGTCTTCTGTAATTTGGAGTTAACAGAAAAGTTTGCATTTGGCTAAAAGCCATTACCAATGAATCTGACCTAAGCTCAGCTCCCCAGTCGGTATTCCCATCAGTTCCCAAGAGTGTCTTTTGTACATATTGATGTCACATGTAGGTCTTTATAAGAAATCAGGCTGTCTCCGGGGCCATACCCTGCTCCTTCTTAGTGAACCCAAGCTTTGCACGGGGCTTTCTCTAGGAGAGCAGCCCCAGGAGGGACGAGGGAAAAGTTCTCTCTATTCTGGTCCTTCCTGTACAGCAGTGTTTGAGCAGTAGGAAGGCAGAAGTTCATAGTCAGATGCTGAGGTAGAAAGTTTAATAGCACTGCTCGTTTGGGCTTGGTGAATTGCATAGGATAGGAAGAGCCGTGTCCCTTACGAACATATTACTCCATTAGCAACCTGTCATGGTGAAACCATGTGTCAGAAGGGAGCGAGAGGCCCATGTGTGTTGAGAGTCGTCCTTCTGGGAATGCACAGCCCTTGCTCTTGCCTCTGGGCAGCACTCGCTTGCTGCTGAGCCCTGCCAAGGGCATTTCCCGGTCCAAGAGGCTTGAACTCCACCAGAGTCTCTGGATTTTGTAGCACTCGTGCACAGCGGTTGCCCCGTCACTGTCCTTGGCTCCCAGCATTGCACTGCAGGGGCACATGAAGGAGCTGGCTCAAGACTAGTCTTGGGAGCTTGTCACCTGCCGAATCGCTGTCCCAGTTCTGTCATCCCTGTCGGGCAGGCRTTTGCTTTACCTGGGGCTGCCTTTTCTTCTGCTAAGAAACACTCTCCTTTTCTTTCCTTCTGCAGATTTTCATGGAGGCACTTGGCCAGATGGTGAAGACAGTGATGTATGTCCTCATCTTGCTGTTCATGCTGATGTTTATATTTGCCATTCTGGGACATGGTTTGTATGGAGATCCTGAAACTGGAGACACAGAAAACTGGGGCAACATGGAGGCTGCCTTCTTCACACTCTTCAGTTTAGTCACTGTAAGTGCAGCGGCATTTTCCAGTTCATGTCGGCCAAAAAAACAAACTCTGGATTTTGGAGTGCTGCTGAAGAAGCCCATTAATTAACTTGCAACTGTGCTGGGGAGAGCGTGAATGGCTCTCTAGTGAGATCATATTGCAGATCTCTGTCAAAATGTGATTTGGTAGATCAATTTCCTACCTGGTATTGAAAATTCAGGAGGGTAAATCTCTCCAACTGCCATCAAGGAGACCTTTGCTAGCTGTCTTAAACCTGGAACTCTAAGGAGGAGAAGAAGAAACTGTGTTCAATTAAAAAAAAAAAAAAGAAAAGAAAGAAAAAAGGAGAGAGAAAGAAAGAGAGGAGCAAGATCTCATATGGCTTGTGAATTATGCTGTGGTTTGGAACTAACTCTGTGCTCTGCTTAAATGCATTTGCAGGTTGATGGCTGGACAGACTTGCAGCAAGAGCTGGAGGATCATGGGTTTGTGAACAGCCACGTGTTCACCACAGTGTTCATCTTGCTGGGGTTCTTTGTGTTCTTCCACATGTTCATTGGAGTTGTGATTATCAAAATGCAGGTAATGGTGATTCCTCGCACTGCACGGCTGTGTTTGGGGGCACATGTCACCAGCTAACAGGCCTATCTTGCCAAGTTGACATTTGACTGCTTGTAAAAGTTGTCTCTTGGTACAACTAGAAACATTTTGGATGCAGAAGTCCKTTGTCCTGAACAGAATAAACATGTTTTTCCCACCCCACCTAGTTTGGGTCGTCTTGGCATTTTTCCACAGCTGCTAAAATCTCCCACTTCTCCAGCACAACCAGCCSTTTGCATCTGGGCTCCAAGGGCGCTTTGCACCAAGGGCTTCGAGTCAAGGGCCTGCTCTGTGTTCAGCCCCTGGCTGATTTCATGGTTCTTGTAGCTGCCTCTAACTCATCTGATACAAGGCAGTGCTTGGAGACAGGGACTGGAGTACAGAATCAACAGCTTTTTTGCTCCTTCATGGAGATGGGTCCAGGCCAGGGGCTTTTGAAGCACAAGTCTCCTTGACTGATCCCCCCCAGCCATCATCTCTGACCTGTGCTCTGGGACTCACTCTCACCCTTTGGCACTGGCAGGAGTCAAACCAGAAGTACGAACGGGAGCGCAAAGCCAAGAGGAAGGCTGCAATTTGGGCCAAGAAACAAGCACTCCTGAAAAAGCAGCAGGAGGAAATGAGCAAGATCACACACCAGCAGGTGAGTGACCCAGCAAGGCAGTGGTCAACCGTGGGTGGATAACAAGACCTGCACGTATTAGGTGTTCTTTAATATGGCAAGAAAAATACGAGCCGTTTTCAGTGGAAGAATAATCTACTTTTTTTTCCTCCCCCCCCTTTCTTATGACCATCTAGSCTGTACATTCCCTGTACATTTTTGATAGGATCATCACATGGTAGAATTTTGGTAAGATCAGCTYTTAAAAGCATTGCAGTGGAACTTAATGGTAAAGGTATTAGACTAGATTTCAATGTGTTTTGTCTGAGTTTGTTTAAGTTCAAAGAGAAATTAAGAAGAAAACTTTTCAGGTCATGTCAAGCCAAGAATCCCATCCAGAAATGACTTGGACTCGGTTCCAGCTAGCGCTTGAGGGAGGTCGCGGTGCTGCCTGCTCTCTCGCAGTCTGTTGATGCAAAGTTTCCAAAATGTTCCTACGGGCTTGAAATTCATGTCGCGGGTTCTGCAGGAGTGCTTTGCCTTGCTTGATAAAGGGCTTTTGCAAAGCGGTCTTGAAGTAAATGTAGTAAAGCTGTCACTGAAATGTAAATGATTAGAGCAACGTGACTGCCTGTTTCCCCCAACTCTTCTGCTCATTCTTGTTAGAAAATGTAATTTAATCATTTCAGGATGGCTCGGCTGAGAGTGCTCTTGCATTTGGGCCAGAAAATCACTGGTCCAAGTACTGTGTTGAGTGACAGATTTTGAGCAGCAGTTTAAGTCCAGCTTCTAGCACCAGGGGTGGCAATAGCTCAACAGTGACAGGACCTGTGTCCTAGGGCTGTTGTCCCTTCTCAACAGGCAATTGCAGAGTGTGGGTGCCAGGACGTGCAACACCTGCCCCATCCTCCTCAAGTGTGATGGGAACAGAAATCACAGATTGCCTCATTCCCAGCCCATCTCTCCTTGGTACAAGCAGGAGCTTGCAGGTGTCTGGAGCACAGCCACCTCTATGCAAGCCCTTCTCCTTGTGAGTTCCGTTCCTGGTGTTCCTGGGCTTTTTTTTTTTTTCTTTCTTTCTTTTTTTTTCTCTCATCAGAGAACTATTCAATATAGAGCCTTCAATGAGATGGTGGATAACTTCAAAAAGACATTGCACCACACGGATTCCATCATCGTAGAGGATTTTTGCGTCAGCCTCCGGTTTATTGATCTTTATTTGACAGTCCTGGACCTGCAGGATGAGTCAGTGGAGAGGTTGGTAACTGTGGAGCTGGTGAGTATGGAGGAGACTCCAAGACCAAAGACCCCTAAACTCTCTTTCGATGTACTGGGTTATTTCTTGGAGTGAGCGGACGTTTTTTGGCCATCCTCCTTGGGGAAAATGCTGCTGTTCTCAGTATGACAAGCTTAAGAAAGCTCCTCCACACAACATGCACTGCAAATGGGGCTATTTTCTAATGCATTCCAACCAAAACACATGGAAACTTTGCTGGAGCGAGTGGCATCCCTGGACTGGGCCACCTGCCCCTATGCAGGGTGAGGGACGGAGGTAGCCACCTGCAGCACATCTTGTCCCCAGGGAAGCCCTGGGTGACMCACAGAACCCAGTGTCCATCCTCCACCTGCCTCTCATGTTCCACCTTGCAGCATCCCTGGGAGAGGGGGGGCCCTTTCCTGCATTTATGAGGGGTGGGATGATTTGTTGGTACCCAAATTCAGGAGGAGAGGAGGCAGGATGCTCGCCTGCCTTGTGACAGCAGTAAGCGGGGCTGACCTGTGCTTTGTCTCGGCAATGGGCTTTTCTGGATCTTGTTCAGGGGAATGATTAACCCCAGGCAATTCGTTTAAACTGTTGTAACCATAAAAGTCTCCCTCAAATCCTTCGAATGCAGCCTGAYGCGTTTTACGCATTTTAGGTTAACCTTAATGTGAGGCAAGCCTATGATCACRCTGGGTACCTATTGTTTAAAAAACCCTACATCTGGTCTGGAGCGCTGCAACTTTTTCACGCTGAGGATYGCTTTGGGAGAGAGACACAGCGATGCCAATGCCTGGTTCAGCAGAGCTCGCCACATCTCCAGCTCGCACCAGGAAATGGTTTAGGGAGAGCTGCTGCCTCCCCAACCACAGACCTGACCGCTGCCCTAGACCCGTTATTTTGGAAATTCCCTCTTGTCCAGCTCCCCACGGGATCGGAGATACTTTCAGGAGTCTTAGCATCCCTTTTGCTCTGCGTGTTCAATGCACCCATGAGGACTGGCCCTCCTGAAGCATTTTACCATGTGCATTGGYGATCAGGTCCCACAGGACACTTCTGTCATCCACCAGATCTGATCTTTGGGAGAAAAATATTGAAAAGAACATTAAATRAAACTAGCACAGAAAGGGGAGTCAGCTTCATGCAAAATACTTGGGTTCTTTTCACTGCTTTTTAACCAACTGGATTTACAGAGGGCTGGTTAGATGGCGTGCTGTTCTCCATATGCCTCTTAAATAGGCTCTCCGCATGGAATTTGGATGGCATAGGAAAGCGATCCATCCTGCTAGTGGAATGGTTTTGCCATGCTCCTCTCTCGTTGCAGATTACAAGAGCTGCATTGTGAAATGCTTGGCGTATTGAGCAAGATCTTGGAAGTCATGGAAGGAAAATCTCAGCCACTGCCTGAGAAGACCGAAAAATAAAGGTTTTGTCATGGGCAACGTGATCCTCGGGGGCTGTCAGGACTCTGCCCAGAATCCTTATTTTAAAGCTGTACTGAGATAGGGCAGAAGCATTTGCAACCAGAAATAATTTAGGAAAGATTAGCTCTCCCTGCTCCTGGCTCGTTCCTGCCATGACTATTGCAGATGCTGATGGAGACCCTGACACAGCTAGTAGGTAGCAGCCTGGGGAAGCACCCTGTTGTTCAGACAGCAGGAACTGCCCGCTCCCAAAGCATTACAGCTTGGCTCCTTTTCGTGGAAACCTTGCAATAAAGCTGGGATTAGACCTGCAAGTGCCTGAAATGCCAGTCCCTTCTTTCTAGGATCAAGCAGACCAGATGTAACTAAGGGGCTGTTCTGAGCTGGAGAAAAATGAACCGTGCTGAGGATATRGACCATAACATCATGACCTTATGGGAGATATTGTAATATCTCACTGCCCCAGAGCCTGCCCTGGAAGAGGAGGTGCCCRGGCATGATAACCACTGCCACAAACCTGATCTAACTGGGCAAGGGCCACCGTGACCTGTCTCTTGTTGCACAAATGACAGGGATTAACGGAGATGTACCAGCCTGTGCCCTTCATGGTTAACTTGTTACCCTATCCTCCCTTTGCCATGGCACCCAGGAAACTAGAGCTGGAGGGGGGCAAGAGGGAAGAAGGTGCAAGCTGGGTGGTGGGTGCCCGGGTTGTGTTGCTGACCTGCGGGTGCTGCAAAGCAGCTCTGTGACAGCACTCTGCATTTTCATGTTGGGTTTCTGGGTGCTGAATTTCACTAAATCTCAATAACTTTTATGTAAGCCTTCTCAAGGACATACCATCCCTCTGTGGCTCCCAGCAGCAAAACAAGCAAGAAGCAGCACAGAGCATCACCCAAGTCAAAATTATTGATGTTTTTCCCAACGAGGATGGGTGGGATGCTGCCAATGGTGCCCCGGGACATTATCACAACAGTGAGCTCCTCTAGGTATTTCTTGAGAGCTCTTTTATGCGCTGGCCTTGGAGCTGCCTCTTGCACTGTTAGCATGCCCTAAAGCCAGCTCCATGCTCATCACGTTGCTGTTCGTGTTTATTTGGGATGGGGATGGTGTTGGCTGGGTCCGGGCCACGGCCCCTTGTCCTTCTCGAGGGGGTTTGCAGCTGCTCACGGAAGCTGCTCATAAAAGGACCAGACAGAAAGCAATGACATGAGCTCCTCTTAAATTTGTTTTTCATGTTCTCGTTTGTAATAATTTTGTGTTTTATGAGGAATACTTCCGAAAACTGCCCTGACATGATGGAAACACATGTGGCTCTCCAATGCTCTGGGAGYGTTTTTTGCTGAGACTAGATCAAAACCTGTTTTTCTCTGACACTTGTACCGGGAGGCTTCCCAGGAGCTGACCCTGTGGAGCAGCGTGGGGAATCAGCAGCCCAAGGGGATGCCAAGAAGGTACCTGGGGATTTTATTCAGAGCACAGTTCCACTGCCGCGTTGGTTCTGCTGGCAAAGCCAAGCTGCGGGAAGTGAACACAGATCCTAGAAATTATTTTGGGGGACTTTCATGTTAACAGTGATGAGGTTAAACAAAGTTTAGTTGTTTCAACCAGTTTCTCTTCTTCTAGGAGTAGCCTGGACTGAGATATCAGTAAAAGTGTCACACGTAGTGGGATCAGGATGCAGTAGGTGGTGCCGAATTGGTGTAATTACTCTGGGATTTATGCCGAAGCTTTGCTATAAAAACATAGCATAAAAACATAAAAAGCTGATATAAAGCTTTTTTAAAACATTTTTTTTTAATTTGTTTTATAAAGCTTGGTCTCTGGCTCTGCTGGGACATCCCTTGGCTGCTTTGGCCGGGGCTGGTGGTGCCTAGGAGCCAGGTGGACCATGTGTCCCATCCAGCCCCATCTCTCTGTCAGGATCAGCTTTGRGGGGAGAGTGAGGGCAGAGCCTGCACGTATTAATGAGGGAAAATTAATACATTTGGTGCCCTTTCTTGTCCTGCTGCCARGCTAGCACAAGGCAGGAGTAGGCTGAAGAAGGGTGGACTGGACCTCATAGGAAGAGAGGCCCCTTTTGTCAGGCGATGGCTTTTCCCCAGAAGCTAAATGATACATAATGTTTATATAGTGTTTTGCCTCTCCTAAATGCAGGCTAGACATTAATTGATTCCAGGTTTGCTCCGCGAAGTAGGTCAGCCTTTTCCACTCGCAGATAACGCGCCCGCCGGCAGCGCCCGAGGCCGAGCCGGAGCGGAGCGGTGGCACGAGCGCCCCGGACCCCGCGCTGGATATACAGCCCTGCTGATGTATGTCCAAATCAGTGGGCAATCTGTAAAGCCCGTTACATTAAGCCCGGTTCAAATGAAATCTGTTTATGTCTCACGCGCTCACTGCCGCTCGGAGCGGGACTTAGCTAACCCAGCACTGTTTGTGTTCGAAGCCTCTTAAACCTCCGCTCTGACCATCTCGAGGGTGAAATATAAAATACTTGCTCGGAGCTGGCTGGGCTCCAGGGCATCGCTGCAGACTCACCCTCTCTTCTGCTCATGGGGCCGCTTAGAAAAAACATCGTGCACTTTAAGCAGTGATGGAAAAAATAATTTTAATTCACTTGTGTTTACATAGCATTGGAAGCTTGCAAGGGTTTGTGCAGACCATTATTATTGGTTTAAACTGGCACTGTAAAATTGTTGCTCCTCTTGCAAATGTGAGGCTGATTCTGGAGCCCCCTCGCAGCAAGCAAGCTGCTCGTGGTGTGGTGGCCTCTGCCATTGCCTTTTATTTTGGCAACCTGGAAATGGCCTCCTGCCTCTTCTGCTGGTGGAAAAATGCTAAAATCAGAAGTATGAATCTAAAGAAATGGACAGCTCTTGTTGGTGGCCTTAGCTGATGTATGTTGGGCTGGATGCTGGGCTTGGAGATGGGTTGCTGACCACGGAGGTGCATCCATCCTTGCATAGAAGAGCCTCAAAGGAGGCCTCCAAAACCTTGATCCAGCTTCATCTACCAAATCTCAACCTAGCTGTTTGGGAGTCTGGCCCTTCTGAGGGTTTGGACATCCTGTGAGCATCATGATGAGCATCATGATGAGCATCATGACCTTGGTGGTCATGAGAGGTGACCGGTTCCAGAGGTGGCGGATGAGTGTGTGCCGAGACTCCGCACGCTCCCATCGGAAGACTCAGATGCCACTTTACTACTCTATTGCCCAGCGGGATCTTGTAGCTATAAAACTGCTCCTAATTACTTCCAAAATTACTAGACAGGGTGATGCTGATTTTGCCATATAGCCCAATAGTTTTTTCTATTCAATACCAAACCTTTCCCTGCCAAACCTTACTTTTCCACATGTCTTATTGTACATTCCTGGGCTGTGGGGCTGTGTGGGGCTTTTGATAGATTTGTGCTTCATCATTGTGTGTCTTCATCAGTCAAGTAGACCAGTATCTGTTCTGCAAGGTGGCTCTATCCTGGGAGGGTTTCCGTAGAAAAGGCACCAGATTTGTTCCCCAAATGTGCTGCTGCCAGGAGGCCTGCCCCTAGACCAGAGAACATTTGATGCCAGGCTGGTAGGGAGCACCATGTTCTGAGGTGGCTTTGACCATTGCTCCCCTGGCCACCTCACTTGCTAAAAACACCCTAATGAAGAGTTCAAAATAG